GGTATAGTGCTTGAGGAACATGAGCCCATTGTACAATTCTAGATCAAGAGAAGCAAGGTCGTCAAGAAGGTTCTGTCTTCCAAGCCACTGCAAATATATGTGAACGCCGGAAGGTTTCATGACAAAATTAAAGTCTACCTTTGCGAGGAAGAATCCGGCAAATGCCACGTCTACTAGAATACCCTCATATATAGCTTTACCCAGGATTCTCCCAATAAAGCGGTACCAACTCAGGCTATGAACTACGAACAAAGATCAGTTATCGTGAAACCGAAACCTAATAACACGGTTAAACCCACTTTCCCTGGCATATCCATGCGGATTTGGGTACAACTCGTTGTTGTTGTTGGCTAACCACAGCCCCCGGTCTGTGTCGAAGACCTCTTTGCAAAGCGACGTAAAGAATTCCTTGAACACCCCGCCACCGTCAATACCAGCCCTACATTCAGTACAACGTTAGCCTGATTCTGGCATAGCCTTAGAAATCAATATACTCAGGCTCTCCAAACTTGTCTATGAATGTGATTTGCACGTGGTCTTTCAAGTTTGCGTCGCCGAGCTTGTCGAACCCATCTTCTGCGATATGGTCTCGCCTAATTTTGACGGCCGTCCGGTTATACCTGATAGAGTGAAGGTCGTCACTATGCTTGCGCGAATCGTTGAGGACGAAGTTGCGGAAGATTGACACCCGCACGTCAAATGGGATGGCAAAAGGGATGTTGTTAAGGACACCTAGTCGAGGTGACAAGAGCGCCATTTGCCGCTTCGTAGGAGCTTTTGTAGAGGTGTCATCAGATAATACTTGATCTTCATACCTGGAGTAGAATGAGCGTCAATATTCTTATTATTAGAAGATCGGAGATAAATGAACATACACAGCAGCTTCAATAAAGCCGTTCATATCAATTTGAGAACTAACAAGCCAATGTTCGGGCGGAACGAACGGTTTACGAGAACTGTGAGATTGCCTGAATATTCAGAAGTCATGAAAACTGTCAGCAACTTACTCTCGAGAATGAATCGCCAACAAGCACTTTGTAACTTTCTCCCTAGCACCTTCCCAAGTACATCGAACGTCTGGACACACCATCTCTTTCTGCAACCCTGTCTGATCATCCCGCCAATAAAGTATGAATGCTATATTCAACAACTGGCGACTAAATGACGTCAAATCGTCCAACGTCAGAGGATTCCTTGTGCCCGATGAACCGAAGAATTCATCATCACCCATTGTCAATAACGATTGTGTGTACAGATCCACCAACAAAAGGAGCGAAGGCCAAGCGTCTGCATATTCAGGATCCATGACAGCGCCCGGATTCTCATCTTTGCCTATTGGTAAAGATCGAACGCGGCTTCGATATAACTCTCTCAAAAACCCAGCTCCGGTGGACGTCAGTACAGCAGTGAGCACACTGTCACGTTTTATTGGCCACACGCTCGTCAAAGAAAGGATGAAAGGTATGATGGATGAGCGGCAGTTAGCGATGATCGAGCTAAGGTGTGCGGGAGAATGAAGAATCTGCAAGCGTTTTATGGTGCGAGGGTCTAATGTGGGAAGGGGGGCAGCGTTGAAATCTGTTACTACCGACACCACAGCATGGTTATCCTCATCATCTGAGTCCTCGAGCGACCAGCTACTGGTATTCGCCGCTGGCGGATCCAATGCATTGACGGGCAACGAGTTGAAGACAGCCGTAAGAAGCGACAGGTAAGAAGGGAGTACCGCCGCTAGCACTGGATAGCGAGCCGGAGGGGTCAACGCAAGAAGGTTGGCAACAAGATTGACTTTAGACTCTGTGTCTTTTGTACAAACGACGGAAAAATGTGGTTCAAGAAGCGGCAGCTGGGAAAAGGGGAAAGCGGAAGAGAAGTGCGTTAGGGATGGTATGGGCATTCGGTTGGGAAGGAGAGATATTGTCAAGATATCGGAAAATAGCCCTATTATCGCTTGGAGATATTCTGGTGATGGTGGAGGGAATATCGTAAACGATACAGTCAGCAAGGGGACCAAGAGAGGAAGTTGTAGCGAATTCTTCCACTGCATGCCAAGGATGGATTTACGGAATAATCCATATCCGTCATGCGACAGCAGATATCGCATCACGTCCGCAGATATGGACGACTGTGTCAGTAACGTGAGCACCTTGAGGTGAGAGGCAGCGTTTGACGATCTGTGTCAGATGGCATCAGTATACGAGCAACCGATAACCAAGTCAGTGACGGAGCTATCCAGCATTTCAACACTTTGGGGGGTTGGGTAGATGAATAAAATAAGGTACTTACTGGGGTGCAGTAGCTACAGAGCGCAGTAAACGAAGGCTTAGCTGTCTCACAAGCACTACCCCGCTCTTATCCGAACACAATGTTGTAAAACTATCTTCAATGTTGTTAGGCGACGAAACAGCGAAGTGGCGCCGTGGTTACTCACCTTGGTTCTGCGCCAGCATCGCATTTGACCATACCCCCATAGCCTCCTCATCCTGCCCGATGAGCACAAGACATCGCAGGCCAGTAATGCCCATCACATCGCTCTCAAAGGTCATCCTCATCTGACGTCGCACTAATCTCGCTTCTCGGACGCCTCGCCACCACGCTTGCAGGATTATTGCATTTTCGTGTCGCCGTCTTTGCTCATCGCGCAGAATTCTCCGCTGTTTTGCTTGATCTAGGATGGTCGCTTGCGTTGATGCAGACGATGCCCCGCCAAGATTGATATTTCGTCGCCGTTCGTCGCCAAAGATGGGGAGCATGATGTCTGCAGAACAGTTAATGTGATGTCGAATAGCGTAAGGGGAGCAGCCACTGGCTATTAGTAAGTCATGGAGGTAGAGAGAAGAAGATATCTGGTAGTCGGTAATGAAAGCGCTGGAAGTCGGTGACGCGTATCAGGGCCTCCGGATGTTCGTCCCGAAGATGCCGCAAGCACTAACCGTTACTAAGCAGCTGCCTCCAAGTCATCGAGTCAGCGAAGCGGTCTATGCAACTGATGGGTACTTACATCGCATGCCCATGTCGAACTGCCTGACTGATCTCCTTTCTCACTGGTTGCCTTTCTCTTACTCTCGATAATCCCTCTCAGCCTGCCAGCCCTCCTCCATTCTGGCCCTTGGTTCGTTACTAAGCTTCGCCTGGAGTGCTCAGGCTCACCGGCATTGGCCCTTCTACCGCAGCCTTTCTTCATTGCTACGATGATTTCTGAGGGCTGGGTTGACTTCCGGATCTCAGGGCTCCTAATTTCGTCGCTTCTCCATTCCTTGTAGAATTATATGCCCCAGGCCACGGTGGGCCGTACTGCAATATGTTAATCACATTCTCCCCGGTAGCCAGGGACTGGCAAGCATCTATGTCCAGGCGACAATTCTGTCCTTATAGATCCATACTCTCCGGACGTCCAATTTTCATAACACAAGAATACCCATCTTCTCATGAACTCGGAGCTTCTTGATCATCTCTTGTCGCCATAGTTCAGAACATCGAACTGCCAGAGATGGCCATGAGGGAGATATGCGTAACGCGCCCTGTCTAGTAAGCCATCCTTGACGCATCAATGCCCTGAAAAATTCCCTCACAAATGGGTGTACCCTGTGAAAAGTTTCATCTGCTCCGATGCTATCTTATGATACCGAGCTGTGAAAATCAACTCCATCGAATACCACCGTATACGGCGTCAATTCCGTCCCGTTTCCGATGCTGCTCTTGTCTACCTGCGCACAGCGCTTATAATAACGCAGGCGCCATCTGTATCTAAATATATTTGACAGAAATCAAGGGTTCCGAGTCTCTGCCAGGCGCCTCACGTTACGAAAGGTATTTGGTTTCGGCGCTATATCCCCAATACCGTGGCTGTCAAACTCGCAAATGACCCAACAGTAATACATTACCATGATCGATCTACAGTCAACTTTGTCGGCGAAGGTTTGGGACGAAGCGTCAAAAGTAACGTCAGCGCTTACACGACCTTCCTGGTTCTCACTCTGTCAGGTGTTTGAAAGATAAGAAGTACGAGAACAGTGCAATTCCGCGGTGCTCTTTAGAATTTCCCCAATGTTCCTCCACGGCGTATTCGTTCTGATCACGGTCGGCCCTTACCACCAGTCGTGAAACTCAATTATTAAGTTGCGCTGGAAAACTAGCGTTAAACCGGTAATTGTATTACAGCGGGTGTATCAGAATATATCATCAGACACTACAGCTATTCAACAAACTATATATCACCATTTCTTACCGGTACATCGGCCTGGTGCAGCGCAGGAACTTACGTAGGTTTAAAAATATTACCATTCAAACCTACCTCACTGGAGGGATTTACGCTGAAGTAACTTGCCCTCGTGATTCCAGATTCCTGCTGTCAGCCTGAGAACTCGATGATACTTTATGAATACTCCTACTACAAGATATAGTTACTCAGGTGCTCTATGGTAAATACCAAGACAAGAAGAATGTGAAGACGAAGATTACGTGGGATCAGTAATTGCTGTGCGGCATGAGCACATGGTGGATATTATACAAGTCGACCATAAATTATCGAATCAAAAAACTCCTGGCTCACTAGTGGGCAGACTCCAGTTCTGAGTTCAAGCTTCAGTCATCTAGTCGCGGCCCGGGTGACGGGCCACGGGCTACTGTCCGTTAGCCCTAAGGTTTTATGTAGGGTAGCGCACAAAACGTAGGTTTCGTTATGCTTGGGTTCATTACCAGCAACTTACCTATCGTGTGACTGTCCGTTGGGCATAAATAATTCAGTAAAACTACATGTATATTCTATTTGTAGAGCACCTACATAAGTATACAATATTTACAAGTGAAAACAGCGTTTAATAAGAAAAATATCTCAAAATGTGAACACTGAGGGTGCTGAAAGAAAATTTGCAATCGCTACGTAACTTACCGCCCCCCACAGTTTTCGTGCAGCGTCTTGACTCTTAAAAGTTAATGTGCATTGTGGAGGGAGAGCCTACGAGCAAAACTAAGACTAACACATGATTTTCATCCAGTAATACGCCGAAGGGGAGTCGAACCCCTACCGCTTGCTAACAAATCATGGAAGGCAAGCATGATAACCGTTTCACCATCGGCGTCATACATATGGCTAAACATATAGCATTAGATATACTGATTCCATCTTTGCGGTATAAAATCTACGTTCGCAATGAACTTTTAACCCACCGCTAAGAGCCGTATTGTAATAATGACGGCAAAAGGGACCTCGTGAACTTTTGCGGTGCGGTGGCTCTGATGCAAAGACACTATCACTCCCACCAATGTATTAGCTCGGCCTTTCTGAGGAGCTTGGATAGAAGTCTCGACGTGGTCGATCCCTGATGAGGTCAAAGGACTGCCGTATGGACGTTTGAACCCCCCGAACATTTCCACGAGCAGGGTTGTGTGGGTGGCGCCATTCCTAAAGAGATAGAAAGAAAGGTTCCCATGGTTCAGTGCATATGGCATCGACGGGAGAAGATGGCCTGCTAAACAAAATCCCTCATATTAGCACTGGGAAATATTCGGGGTTTGACCTGCAGAATCCGCCGCAAGTCTATTGTCGGGTGTGCTGCGAACAGAAGATGGGGCTACCTCGTGTTAGTTGAGCGGCTCCCCACAAAGACCTTACAGCGCGGGATGATCATCAGTTAGTCGTCCCCAGCGGAAAAACTTCAAGTGTAGCTAGATCTTCTGGCACGTCAACGGTCGACGTAGATTCACTCCGTGCATACAGCTGCCACACGACGAGGCTGAGCTGTGTTCGTGCGGTTTCTCTTCGCGTCCTTTCAAGCTCGAGCGGAATTAGGATATTGCGGGACGCTCCCCATCGTAAAGCAGCAGATGGATCGCTACTAGATGGACCCACAGAGTCTAAAGCGACTGACTATAGCATGAGACCAGAGATAGTCGATAAGTACCAGACAGAATTAGATTTACAATTGCCAGAGTCAGCAGCGAGCGGGCAAAAAGTGCTGCGGTACTGCATGGGAAATTTGGGGCGGGTATTTGAAACTCTAGCTTGAAGATATTTCGGTGAATGTATTGAGGACCCACGAACGTTGCTCGTACTGTACGACAGGAATCAATGATAGGGAATGTAGAAAATCACCATAGTAATTCTTGATTACGACACATTTGCAATCTATTTGTTGACATGAGGGTAAAAATAGCGCAGTCGGTAGCGGGATGTGAGCTGGTGTCGGCGTGGACACAATGTGGGTGATGCTCGGGGCGCGAGCTTCGGCCGATAAGGTACCGACAATCCCGAATGGATCAAACTACCATGTTGCTGGCATCCTTCTGCAACATCCTTCTTACTTCCTACGCTCACCAGCGCCCACCGCTGTGACCTGCTTCTGTTTCCTGGTAAAGAATAGGCACGCCAAGTGCTAGGCTAGAATCCGGTCTATTACCTCCCAGCCTCAGTGAATTCGAGTGCGAAGTCTTGGTGCGATGAGCAAGCACTTGGCGCGAAGACTTGTTTACGGACATGTATATGCTCACTATCTGTCTCCGAGATCACTGACGACGCCAAGCGTTGTAGAGGCCGTTGGTCGGCTATCCACCTATCTGGAGCTCGGGAACCTTTGGCTATTTAAGGCATGCCAGATGTCATGGCCGAACCGTTAGCGCCATGATCTCCGCAAACGCCCCCAAGCTCGGGGCAATTCATAATGTAATTGATGGATTTTGACTTGGCGATATCGAATGGTGCTTTATGGTTCCTTCTCTGGTATTTTTCTCGTGTGGATTCCGAGCGTAGAGAGAATTCTGGAGCTGCAAACGCGGAGTTTGATGGTCTTCGAATACGCGGTCCTGCGTAAGTGGATCCCATTCCCCCTTCGTGTCGATATGGTCTCTGATTCGTGTCTATGAATAGGCACTGGTTTCCTTGTACCTGTGTATGTACGGTGGCGTTACCGGCACATATGAGGTCAGAGTGATGAATGTATTTGATTGATACTGCCGCAATCAGAATTAATATTTTCGTCATAGATTCAGCCCAAAGCGTACGTTGCTTGCACGTCTTCATTCAAGGCCGCATCGCATGAAGCAGCGTGGACCTGCTGGGCCTCATGTCGAGTCTGTCATCAGGAAACGCCATGATGCCCCGCCGACTCGGACCAGACTCGACGGACCTTCTCTTGCTGATTCAGACTCAGGGAAGGGGTCACCTCTCGCACTGGCATCTATGCTGAGCTAGAGCAAACAAGCTTAGGCTACTGGATCCGACGCCAGGGAAAACAAAAGAAAAACGGAGAGTACACGCTCCATGGAGGCAATAGTCTCGGATGTTCCCTTCCGGTGGTCGCGTTATTTTCGCCATTTGGTACAGCGAGTCGGTGCGCTGACCAACGTTCTTCAGATGATAGAGTACCAGGAAGAGAAGGTTCCACAAGCTTCCGGCGATCAGCACAAAGCAGCTGGAACGAACACCGTTTTGACCGTTTTCATTTCCCTGCTGAATCGGGAGGATGCAGCGGGTCCCGAGTCAGTAGGAGGCGACTTGTACTGTCGTTATCAATATCATCGAATTTGATGGTTATGGTCATGAGGCGAACTTGACTTGCTATCAGATATTCTCATTTCCATTTGTGATTTCTGTACCAAAAAATGTTTCTTGTTTCGCTCTGCCTTGAGGCATAAAAAGACAGGGATAAAGAATGATGCTTACGTGATCAACTAAAAGTAGTAAGTTTCCTTCCTCCCTCTACTTTCTTTACCGCAAACCACCATCACCGCCAGCGACTGCAACGAGCTCCGTCGTCGTCGACCAGCGTCAGGGCTATTTTTTCTCGACGGCGAGAGGGGTGCTGCACCCATTCACGCCGTCTCGTCGTATATCTACAGTCAGCCTCGCTTTTGCCTTGACCCACCCACCCGGACGTCATGATATCGCTCTAAGTTGAGCTTCACGACCAGCAGCCTTTCTCATTTCATTAATTGTATTCCTCATTAACTCGCCCACCATTACCTTTACCACAACGGCCATTACAATTCCCAACCACCGCCTGGACTGCCTTGGACACATGACAGACCAGGACTCTTCCTCGACAGAAACAACTCAAACCGACGGCGACGGCCCGGACAGTTCTGACAAACCCCACGATAAGCCCAGACCCAAGCCTGCTAACGGTGCCACCCTCCACATTCCAATACCACCGCCAGAGGCCGGAGCGTACGAGAAGCAGCCCGGGAACACCGTTGTTTCCCTTCAACGGCTTGCTTCCGGTGCCAATCATATCAAACAAGCATCCATGACTTCCTCCAACAGCGGTTCGACCGCTTCATCACCTACTGTGTCAGAATCAGATTGGGAGAGCGCTCCGTCTACTCGCGCCAATAGCCGCGCGCCCAGCAGGGCACCCAGCATGTCCGCTGGTGCTGACGCGAAGCCCCAGATGACACCAAAGCCCAGCAAACCCGCCAATGGCCCAGTTAAGCCCACCCCTTCCCCCGTCAACGGGTCGGGTGCTACACTGCGTGCAAAGGCACCCTCGGTTCACTCACAGGACGGCGGAGGGACCAAATTTACGCTCAAGGATCTGCTTGCTAATGGGCCTAAGCTCGCTCGCAAGTCTTCCCAGCGCTCAACGGGAGGAAGCAGTCGCAAGTCGGATGGAGACAGTGACGCGGGTGGACGGCAGGGCCCACGGTCAACGGGGGGTGAGAGTACTGCCAGCCTGTCGCAAAAGTACGGCGTCTGCCAGAAGATTGCGATCGGCAAAGGCGCCACCTCCGTCGTCCGCCTCGCCCACAAGTGGGACAGGAGCGAGGAGAAGCTGTATGCCGTCAAGGTCAGTTGCTTGTCATGCTTGTTGCATTTTCCCCTCTCATGATCAACTAGGAGTTCCGAAAGCGCCGCAAGAACGAGACCGAGAAGGAGTATATCAAAAAGCTCACAGCCGAGTTTTGTATATCGTCAACGTTGCACCACGTCAATATTGTTGAGACCGTCGACCTTGTCCAGGACGAGAGCCAGCACTGGTGTGAAGTAATGGAGTTTTGTCCTGGTGGTGATCTGTACGCTGCCATCAAAAAGGGCGGAATGTCGCCGAGCGAGGTCGAGTGCTGTTTCAGGCAAATATTGAGCGGTGTGGCATATCTCCACAGCCAGGGCGTTGCCCACAGAGATCTCAAGCCTGAGAATCTCTTCTTCGATACGAAGGGGCACCTCAAGGTCTTTCATTTCCGCCTCAAATGACGTACACATTGTCTGACTTATCTCGTAGATTGGTGACTACGGTGCCTCGACAGTTTATCGTCTACCTTGGGAGGCCACCATACATATGTCGACTGGACTATGTGGAAGTGAGCCATACATCGCGCCGGAACAGTTCCTAGGCAAACGTAAGCCTTGAAACCCCTTTGCTATCATTCCGGGTGTTTCTGACTAGTGCTGTTACTTTACTCGGCCTTTTTCCTATACCGGAACCCTCAAATAGCCTACGACGCCCGGCTCGTTGATATATGGGCGTGTGGGGTGGTGTATTACTGCCTTCACTTCCAAGAGTTGCCTTGGCGGGCTGCCCAGCAGAGCGATGCAATGTACTCTGCGTATGCTTCTGCGTGCACGGCTCCTACCGTGTTCCCTCCGACGATCAATAATCTCTCTCCGCGAGCTTGTCGGAGTGTGATCCGGATGATGCTGGAACCGAATCCCAAGCTGAGGGTGCCAATTGAGGAGATCATGAAGCAGCCCTGGGTACAAGGAATTGAAGTGTGCCATACGGTGGAGAAGCCGAAGCATGTCCATGTGCATGCCCGGGCCTTGGCGCAAGCGCAGCTGAAGGAAGTTGGTTGATGTTTCTTGTCGTACTGTCCTCCTATGTTTTCTGGTCGTTGTTTCTGGCTCTCCTCCACCCACCTGTGTTCCATGACGAGTTTTTAATCCAAACTTATCCTTCTTACTTTGTAGTTCAATACGATCTATCTATAATTCTTTTTGATGGTTTTGCCACCGCCACTGTCCGCCTCGATCGACGATCATGACCTCAAGTTGCACCGTTGAAAGTGCTTGGCGCGGCGATTGTCGTTTAATGGAACCGTGGAATCTCTTGGGAGCTTGCTTATGGCGCGATTTGAGGGACGGGGT